GCAAACACTGTGGCTGTTGTCAAAGGGCAGCTTGGAGGGAGAGGAGGGAGGCTGATTGCTCTGGTGAAAAGTGGTCCTCCCCAACAGCACCTATTGCCAGTCCTGTTTCTTGTCTTTCCTTGACATCAGCAAAACCAACAAACATGATGTCCTCTCTTCATACCCTGTTTCATTTCCAGATGTCTCTGGCATCTGTTTTTTTCATAGGAGAAGCAGCATGGTCTTGGCCCTTCACTTGGAGGTAGCAAAGTTCACCTCTTGGCATTTGCTGCTGGCAGACAGCAGCACAGCAGAGCAGGTTTGCTCACCGTATTTCAGTTTTCCTTTCAGTGAATCAGATGTCCCTGTTGCAGCAGAGAAAGGCTGGGAGAACAGTGTTGCTACGTGTCGCTGAGAGCCCTTCGCCACCACCGCTTAGAGCTGTCCTCTCGTTATACAAAGTGTGGCAACAATAAGATGTTTTCAGTACAATTTCAGTGATCAGTGAAATTATTTCAGTGACCATTCTTATGCTTGTTTGTTTGGTTTGGCCTACGTGTATTTTGCTTGCCACATTGGCTAATGAAAAATACGACTGCTCTGAAAAAACAAGCTTACTCTGTATTTCAGCAAAGATGAGTAAACTTAAGTGCAGAACACAGTACAAAAATGCCACTTGGACTTAGTAAGAGGTTTCTTGGGCTCATCTTAAATGGAAGCAGTAAGATGTATGTAAGTGTACTAAAGCATCTACTAGTTCTTAGCAAAATGGTAAACCAACTGTCCAGAACTGAGAATACCAGCAGACAGTCCTGAGCTATCACCCTTCAGATTGTGATACCACCAATGGCAAGTTGATTTGAGGAGAAAGCAGTCAAATCCAAACTCCTGCTCTGCTGAAAGCTTTCCTGGGCCATAAAGTATTTGGCAGCCTCTGATCAGGCAGGTGGTTGACCACCTCTGCTCAACCGAAGAGCCCTCTTCCACTTGAGTAAGGGATTTTATCAAGTGACTGTTGTAGGAAAGCCCTTGATCTCTAGCTAAGAAGTTCTGAAATAATTTTCATATGAAATACATCCAATTCTACTTTCTAAGGACTCAAGTACTACCTCTTTCCCAGTCACAAAGAGAATTTGTTTGCTTTGCTCCTTTTTCCCATCTAATTCCACGTTCGCAAGAGTTTTGAAGAAAAGTGCACAATACTATTGATTCAGAAGTTGAAACACAGGTGTCTGGGGAGGTAAAGGATGGTTAGACTGGATGAAGTCCAGCATGAACCTTGTGCATACTCAGGGACTCTATAGCATTGCAAGAAAGGTAAGCAGGAGGCTGGAACGATGTTTGTTCTTTTTCTTCTCCCATTAGACTCCCAAAGGTTCCTGTCTGGAGTCGGTGAAGTTTGCCATTGATACTGGTTACCGCCATATTGATGGTGCCTTTGTCTACTACAATGAGCATGAAGTGGGACAAGCCATCCAGGAGAAGATTGCTGAAGGAAGGATCAAGCGAGAAGACATTTTTTACTGTGGCAAGGTGAGAAGCTGCACTCAGATTATTCACACTAAATCCAGGATTTCTGTGAATGGGCTTTCTTCAGAATGCCCATGGTCAACACTGGGCATGCTTCCAGACCCTACACCCTTTATTTTTCTTCCCTAGCATTACCGTAATGTCTCAGAGCTTTATGAGCACTAGATCTGCTGTAAAGCACGTCTAAAGCTCAGTTAGTAGAGGGAACCACGCAACATCCATTCTGCCAAAGATTATAAGCACCTGCAAGTTTAGACCATTGCCACACTCAGCAGTGCTGCCTAAGCTGTTACTGTCCCACGCATTGTGCTGGCATGCACATTTGTGTAGTTACACAAAGAGCCCAATCTGGACAATGAACCCACAAATGAGTTATTTTCTGATAGAGCAATTCCCCGTATGGGTTTGCCGTGAGATTGCACAATGCAAGGGGTGGGAGCAAGCACGTGCACTCAAGTGTCTGTGTACGGGAGAACAGCAAGTACTTACATTGGTGCTACTGCCAGAAAATTATTCATCAAGCTACACCTTAGTTACTGTATCACCTGTCATTTGAAAAGTTCTAGGATGATGAATCAACTTACTTGGAGAGAAGATGTCATCATACTTCTGCTCTACAGCAGTGAGGCTGGAGTCATGCATGAGCTAGTTAATGCTTTAGTCTTAGCTGTAAGAGTTGATTCTCTCCTAGAAGAATGAAATCCCTTGTCCGATGGAGCATCTGACAAAAGCTGTTAAAACTACGATGACTAGATCCCAGGTATAAGAGAGAGCTCATTGCACATTGCAGAAAAAAGATCAGATGCCCCGAGAAAAATCATGGTGCCTGTCCAGTTTCTAATAGAGTTTATGGTCTCAAGTTCCCCTTCCTGCAGTGCTTCTTTGGACATATCAGCCTAATATTTTCCCATTCTCCTTTCCCAAATAAGACGTAATCCACAAGAGTTACTCAACAGACTTGGAAATAAATACCATGGTTCCTAGAGTGAAAGATCCCATGGGATAAAAGGCCCAGTTCATTGTGAGCAATTTAGTTAAACTCTATCATCTGGGAAACTAAGCTTTAGATTGAGTAGTTTGCAGGCAAAGTGGATTTTCAGCAGCTATAGACCAATTTCCAAGTACAGCAATTTCCAATCTGTAAAGTATGCAACTCTTTTCCAAGTTCCCTGCTCAGTTCTGCTGGTAACAACCTTGCCATCCTGAGAAAGCTTCACATCCTCAAATTTTCCACCTTTATCAGGGTAGTCTCTCAGTCCCTCATATGCCAAATATGTTGATTTGGACCAGTCAAAATATTTCATTTCAACTGTTTTATAGTTTCATTACTGCAAATTACCACTAATATTTCAAATAAAAACCAAAAAGTTGTGCCAAAAGGTTAGAACCAGATGTCCTAACAATTTTGAGTCTTTAACTTTCCCAACTGCTTCCCCTGCAGTTTATTTTCCCATATAAACCATTAGGTTCTGTGAAAGTGCATCTCTTGGTAAAACTTTATCAGGATTCCAAACTTTCTTTCTTTATGAAGCCTTTCTATATTCAGTTGTCTGATCTAATCACTAGATGATTTTCCTCATTGATGATCACTACCTAAACACTGAGGCACCT